TAATCTTATTTATTTTAAAGTCATTAACAATTTTCCTTGTAATATGCTTGTATGTATGTACATATGTATGTAAGTATTTACATAAAGCATTTTATTTCTAGGCTTTCTTTCAAGTTTGACCATAGTAATTTTGTATAAAGAAAACGCTGCAACATTTTTCAGTCACATTTTTAATTTCATACACAGCGGGTGGCCTGACTACCTATTTTGTTTCTGTCAAGATTTTTTGACATCCTTAGCCGATTAAAACGCTTACTTATTGTACATACAAATATATATATGTAAGCATGTATGTACATTTTCATAAATCCATCGGTTTGTGTATGTATGTGTGTACAAATACATATGTATGTATGTATCTGCAATGCACATTCATGCATGCATTGCATTAAAATATTTTTAATTTTTAACTAAAGCATAAATGCTGAAATCTGAAAATATTTTTACTTAATTTTAAGCTCTCCAGTTGGTTTCATACATCGACATTAATCTTCCAAAGCATTTTCCTTTTTTATTTTTAAAGCCTAGTCGTTTTTTTAACGAGAAAAATGTAATTCTTTCCACATCGCTGGCCTGGAGTGCAAAGTTGCTTTTAATTTTACAGGAGAGAAAAAAATCTTCTTATAGCCATTTCCTTCAAGTATTAGATACGAATACCACATTTTGCGTGTTTAAAGCAAAGCAAAACTTCGATAACGAATAAGAAGGATTCCATCTTTTATAAAAAATATCGATATTGTTATCGATAATTTATCGATTTTGTTATCGATAATTTATCGATTTTGTTATCGACATTTTTATCGATTTTCTAAGCGATTTTTGTGATCGATTTTGTTGTCGATTATTTATCGATTTTTTTATAGATATTTTTATCGATTTTATTAGCGATATTTTTATCGATTTTGATATCGATATTTTTATCGCTTTTCTAATCGATTTTGCTACCAATATTATTATCGATTTTTCTATCGAAATTTTTATTGAATTTGTCTTCGTTTTTGTTATCGATATTTTTATCGGTTTTTTAACGATATTTTGTTGATTGTTTCTATCGATTTTGTTATCGATAGAGTATAAATATAAAAATGAAGATAAAGGAAAACAGAATAACATAAATGTAATTAGAACGAACAGGGGTAGAGGTGGATAGAAAAAAGACAAAAAATATAACCTTAATCAAAGCAGATGTACATATGTACGTATGTATGTTGGTTATGAGACAAAATAGATATGTAACGTAAGTTTCACTTCTCCAATGTGGTCCAGGAGCACTTACTTTTTTGGTATGTACATAGTTATCCTTTGATTGTGAACTTCAGAAAGCAGGATTTGGAATCTATAAGTCCTAAATCCAAAAAAACTATGAGGTGTTCTTACGGGCAGTCCTGCGCCATCCAGTCCCAGAAGATGCCTCCAATTTGAGAACAGGGGGTTGCGACCTGAATGAGCTTTTGGATAAACATAGCCTTGCTTGGGCGATCAACTTTTCCAAAGCCAGCGTAATCAGAGATCATTGCCAAGGGAAGGATGTTTTACTTATAGTGAGGAGACCAGGTAACTAAAACGTCTGCAAACTGTGGACTCGCTGTAAATTCTAGTAAGGCGGAACTCGTCTTGTGCACTAGAAAGTATAAGATACTCTACTCGGCAGAAGTCTTTTATTGGAAACGCTATTATTCCCATTAGACAGTGATCAGTGCTGATTCCAACAGCCATCCTGAGTTGAGAGCGTTAAGAGAGAATGAAGGCGCTTGTCCTATCTTTGTCAAGTCTGGGTCAGATATTACGTTTTACCCCACATGTTGGTTTTCTGCGCCATCTGCTGTTTGCCTGTTCGTCAAAGTAGATTTTAAGAATGAAAGCGGTATACACAGCTGCTTCAAGGGAGCTAATTGTGGCATTAAGGAACATGCAGTCATCTTCTTCACAATTACCTAGCATATATATATGTCTCCTGGAACCCAAATCCCCCTGTGGTGTTCTTGGATGTCAGGTCTTTTAGAACATATCTACATACATTTTTACCATTCGTTCCTCGTGCGAAACTCTTTGGTAAAGCTATCTCCCAAACTGGAAGTCGGTATCTCGTAGTCTGAAGACTTAAATTTGGTTGGAAAGATGTCTGTTATATGTTATGGGAAACTCTCGTGGAAGCCTAATATTGAGGAAAGTGCGTGGCAGGCATTAGGAAGGAGATGGGGGACTCTCTCCAAAGGTTATTTCCTGCCTGTATTACTTGAAACACATTGAAAATGATGGGCTACGCGCCACAGCTTCCAATTTGTTATCTTAATTATCTAAACGTTTTAACGATTGCGACATGAATTTTTTGAACGCGGGGGCGACATCATGAATTTGTGTGAGTAAATAAAAAATACGCTCAAACGTCCTATACGTATACAAGAATGCTAGAATACAAAATTGCGCCCATGAGAGAGGATTTTTGAGCGAAATGTTTGCGTGGCGCGTCATCTTGGTGCATGTAGCCCTTTAGGTAAGTACGATTTTCATCACATGCCCGATGTTGGAAAAATGCATGAAATTATATGTATGTATGTATGTAGATACAGAAAAAAACTTACTTACATATATCGCATGCTTGCCTTTTGTTTTCACTTTTACAATTTGCCACTGCAGAATTCATTTTGCCTTGTAATGTTTCAATAATTGTGTAAAATTACGCAGAAATATTAACGCACAAATAGTTAAATTGGATTGGGCCACCCGTTCGGACACAATAGCCCGAAATCTTTGGACAAATAGTTAAATCGTGATTTGGTTTTCCTCAACCAACAATTGCACCAAGATGACGTCACGCACACAGCTGATTCTGTCAAATCCACAAAGAGCGGATTAACGCTACCGCGATGTGCACAATCTCTATTTCTCTCAATCGTGATATGTATACACATTTTGTTTTACTGTTGTTCTGCTAGTTTCAATCCAATGTTACATCTGCTAATTCTTCTTCTAAAATACCAAAACGGTAAACGGCTTTAACGGTATGCTGCTTTCGCTAAATTATAAAATGTTTGAAAATCTGGCAATATACCTATTTATTTAGTAGAGTTTCGAACCATAACATCAGAGCACCAGCAGCGCCACCTACAAAAACAGAGTTTTTGACATTTCATTCTTCATCTTTTGTGCTGTCAGTTATCAGTCAATTGTGAACAATCAGCAGCGATTTTGGTAGGCAGCGAAATTTTTCGCAACAATCTTGGCCACCATAAAATTTTGAATAAATTTCGATTGTATAAAACTACGAGTATTTATTACAAGTTTAAAAAATGATGAACGCTGTGACACGTGTTTACCTACGCGCTGGCAGTCAGACAGTTTCCAACGTCATCAAGCCAGCCGCAGTAGCTACCACTCAGGGTAAGAGCCAGAGCAGTGTTTGAAAAAAACTTAGTTTTACACTGTATTGCACAATCAAATTAATCTACCGGACAACTTCAAAGTGAAGGAATAAATGTGGTGTTAATTCGTTGCTGATATCGCAATGTTTTTATCAATTAAAAACGATTTTGAGCATTACTTTGGGCCTCTTTATTATGTAATGTGTTTTGAGGTTATGCGCAAACGTCATTGCAAAAGTAGTATCATCAAAACAAGCTGGATTCACGATCCCACGACAGTCGCATCTACGCAACCGAAACGACCTAGATTTATATCTGTCCAAGAACTCATTGGAATATTTCTATGCTAACACAATGATAACAACACATTTAGTTGATAGAACACTGCCTAAAGAACTTTTTTTTTTCACTTGCAGCCCAACGCAATGCGCACACTGATTTGCAGGTGCCTGACTTCTCCCCTTACCGTCGCGAGTCTGTAAACACACCAAACCGTAAGGATGATTCAGCCGAGAGCCGCAAGGCATTCTCTTACATGCTTATTGGCGCTGGTGCTGTTGGCAGTGCATACGCAGCTAAGGGACTGGTAACCGCGTTCGTGAGCTCGATGAGCGCAACTGCTGATGTTTTGGCCATGGCTAAGATTGAAATCAAGCTTAGTGATATTGCAGAGGGCAAGTCGGTCACATTCAAATGGCGTGGCAAACCTTTGTTCATTCGTCATCGTACAGCCAGCGAAATTCAAACCGAGCGCTCGGTTGCAGTTTCCACATTGCGTGATCCTCAAGCCGATGATGTGAGTGGGCACACCATAGTAGTGCAACGCTAATATTACATTGGTAAGCTTTTATTTTTTTATTTACAGCAACGTGTAACCAAGCCAGAATGGTTGGTCGTAATCGGTGTCTGTACGCATTTGGGTTGTGTACCAATTGCCAATGCTGGTGACTTCGGCGGTTATTACTGTCCGTGCCATGGTTCTCACTACGATGCCTCTGGACGTATTCGCAAAGGACCAGCTCCATTGAATTTAGAAGTACCGGCTCATATATTCCCTGATGATGGCACACTGGTCGTTGGTTAAGTACGAAGTAGTTCAGTTGAACAAAGAAAACGAAGTGAAAAGTGTAAACATAATTTATAACTCAATAAAAAAGTTGGGGCAAAATGTGATTCGATTACCCGTATGCATTGGTGTATATGGCGCAAGTTGCACTCAACTTTAAAAAAAAAACTTAAATTGATTGCTTTCATTTTTACATTTAATTGACTAGTTAAATTCAGTGGTATAAGTTTGAGAATAAAAACTTTCACGGCCGTTATGCCGCTAGGAAGGCACAAACTCAGTTCCTGCACTGAAGAAAAAATATATTTTGAAGCGGTCGCCGGCCATGAGAAGGATTAGCATAAAACCATATGCAGTTCTGTGGAGATGGTAAGCCAAGGACCATCCACTCTATAATCTGCGGCATAAGCTCGGCCAAACACTAAGCAAAAATATGAGTGGCAAAAGTAATTATTTTTCCTAATCCCCTCTTCTATTGATTAATCGGATTCAGCTAAATTAAATTTTTTTCATGTCTGGCAACGAAAACTGTTTATTGTGAATATTCTTTGAAATTAAATGTCAAAAATAATGTCAAATAGATGAATTGACAAATCAGTCTGTGAAATTTTCAAGATGGATTGGAGTTTTATAAAACCAATCCTGTCTAATCGATATGGAACTTTAAATAAACCTGAAATAGTTAATATAATTAAAGCAATAACAAGATGGTAAGTAATTCATTATAAAGAAAAACAATTTGTCTACTTTTGGCAGTGTAAAAATGCGCAAAAATAAAATTTGCCTTCCGATCACAAATCAAAGATGGCGGCCGACGGCTGCCACTACCACGAAAAAGTTTTATTCATTCGGAAATCATTTTCCCTTGTTTTATTTTCAGTGAAAACGATTTTTTCGATGATGAAAGCAATTATGCGCAATTTTATATGGCTTTTGCAGCTCTAGCTGCCGAAAAATTGAGCCAATGCAAGCTGGGTAAGTCTCGGAAACGATTTTTCACCAAAAAAAATTATGCATACACATTTTGATGAAAACAGTATAAGCTCCTTAACTCGAACTTCTGCGATTTCTATAATATGGCAATTTACAGGTCTCAGTTTTGAGTAAATATTGGTGAATTCCTTAGCCACATTAGTCAGAAAATCTGAAAGCCTGGTACATACACGCAAATAAATTCAAGGCCATATTTCTGCTTAAACTGCTTAACTTCAACAATTTGTATGTAATTACATTAGGTGAGGCATCAATTTATTCGAAAATAAATGTACTTTTAGATAGATACTACATATTTGGCACATTCCATACAAATATTTGAAATAAGCGATAGTCAACTAAGAAAATTTGGGTTTTTTAAATTTTACACGGCAAAAACTCCCAACAATATTTTAAACATCATAAATCCCCCTTCCAAGATATGTTTGATTTTTAAGAACGGATGAGAAATAGTCTACGGTTGTTTTTAAATCAAATAAAAATTGAGGGTTCAGGAACTATGATAAACCTACATTTATGTTGCCTTCGATCCTACCTATACTACAACCTACTGTGTTTTGTTTTGGGTTAATTTCATGATTTTTTTTCTTTGGCCCATGTAATAAAACAAATGAAAAAATGCGGTACTAAATTTTAGATTTAGATATTGGAAGATGCCTTTTAGCAATACTACAAAGCGTTCTGTATCCACATCTTTCGGTATGACGGGAACTTTCCATTGCTTTGCTTATTAAAAATGAAGGGCCAAAAATTTAGCCGTCTTAAGCTGAATGATTAATTCAAAATTTTCAATAATTTGCGAGATATTTCAAAATGATGTGTTAGCTCATATGAACCTTATACCTAATTTACAATACTTGGGTTTAGGGGGAGGAATTTCAATAATATCGACATATCAGCTTTTTTCACTTGACACTGTTTCGGTTTTGAATTCGTTGATTATCACTTAATTTGTGAAAAATTTAATTTCGATTTTAGTAAAACGAACTCGAATAGCTACATACATACATATGTGAATTGAAAATTAGGTAGCGCAACAAAATTGTACCTCTTGGATCGGAAGAATTCTCAGATATAAATTGGTTCAAGTTAAATGTGTGCCACTGTACACTGGCAAACGTCATCATGTCAATTAGCAGAGAAAAAGTACACTTTGTATGCATCTGTTATGTACTTATGTACAGCTGTTAAGTTATTGTGAATGGTTCTTAGCGGGCGCCGGGAGTGTTAAAAACTGCAATTTCATCAGCATATTTATTTTTCTAATTCTCTTTTACTCTTTCCTTTCTAAACAAAAACAGTGTGCCAAACGCAAGTGCCGCAAATACAGGAAGCCTGCGCTATACTTATACGCTTCATACTACATAAATTAAGTAAAGTGAGTATGTTATATTTTTATGATCTTTCGTAAGTAATAACATCCAACAGTAAGGATGAATAACAAAGAAATTAATAGGAAAAAAATATTTGAATATGGTTTATAATTGCCCAGAAAGTAATTTTGGTAGGCATACTCGAGTGAAGTCATTTTCTGTTTAAAATTTACGCGAAGGTATGTATGTATATCTTATTTAGCCCTAAAAATGAATTTGAATGAGCATTTTAAGTTGCAATAAAACATGTTTGATATGTACCCTAAATTAATACATAATATGTAGCTTAAGTACTTAAGTAAGAAATGTATGAATTAAAGAATCAGCTCTGGAAGAACTCTTCCAAAACGTCTTCTGATATACATACATACGACCTATAAAAGCCCTTCTGTGAGTTATATGGGTGGCGAAAGCAGAAACCCTTCGATTTATGCCAATCCACACAAAAACAAAGAAGTAAGGAATGCAGAAAGCCTCTTTACCCTCAGTATTACCCTTTGGAATGATACAATTTAGGATATGAAACAGTAATATATGATTAGTTCTGGGAAACGAGCCCATTGGAAATGATTCCAGATTGATTAACTTTTAAACACAAATAAATGTTTCCCCATTTTTGAGTACGTAAGTCTGACCACATTTTGGTTAAAATGAAACTTATAAGTTTAGAAAACATTTTTGCTAGATTAAGACTTAATAGGGTCACTCATTTGAAAAGAAAAATAACCTATGAACTTAATAGACCCGGGATACTATCGATAGTACCGCCATTCGATAGTTTTCGAAACGATAGTTGAAAACATCGATAGTATCGATAGTACTATCGTCGTGAAACGCTCAATTGCTTGAAAATTAAATAATTAATAAATTTATAAATTACTTTGTATTATATAACTTTTTTCTTTTTTAATTGGAGTGCATCAAAAGAAACTTCTTATAGTAATAAAATAAACTTATTAATTTATGCGTCTGAATTATATACACTTATATACAAACACTTGCATCCTCTTGAATAGCGACAGGCAAAATCTGAATATATTTTTTATATGAAAAAATTAAATTCGGATTTTGTTTTGAATTGCAAAGAAGTGAAATTGGCTATAATGATACATTTCTAATACTACAAAACACAAAAGATATTCGTTTCAATTGATTACTCATACTTATAAAAGTTCAACTGAGATCAAATACGTAGGCATCTAATTCCGGACAAGGGAAATTATTAACATTTTATCAGATTATAAGAAAAGGAATATAGTACTGGTCAAAATAATAGCACCACATCATTTTTAGCAGTTTTGACTATTTTTTGTTTACTAATTTTTTATAAAAGTTGTACAAAACATAAAAAACATTAAAATTTCAAGCTTTTTAACTCGAATTTCTACAAAAATTTTGTGTAAGTAGTTTTATAGCTTATTAAATTTTACTATAACTCACGTAAGCTTATAGTTTCTAAAAATTCCAATGACTTAAATTTGTTTTTGCTGGCCGTTGGGATTTTTTTTGCATAAAAAAAAATTAATGACATTAATGAAGAGACATTGGGAAGTTTCGTTAAAGCCGACATCGACAGTTTTCAATAATTATCGATAGTGGCGGCAGTTTTCAACTATCGATACTATCGATAGTATCCCAGCACTAGAACTTAAAGAACTATAAGAATTTTAATGTGTTCGCCATGTGTCAGCAAATATAAGTACATATACATATTTGAAAATAGAGCACCAAATGATAAACATTTCTATATTATCTTATATAAACGATAATAATTTGTATTTATAAGAAAGTAGATTAGGGAGACATGTACATATATCACGAAAAAAATCCTCTGCTTCTTTTGAAAAAGCTAATAGGTCTCTTTTCATGTCTTTGTTTTACTGGTCGCGATTGTACCATAAAAGATCACATTTTTCTTAATAAACAAATATATTTTTTCTATAAATATATACATACACGTAATTATTTTTTCTTGAAATAGATAACCAAGAAACCCAGCTATACCCAATCACTAAGAGACGAAATAAAATGGCTGCTGCCAGCTTTAAAAAGTCTTTGCGAGGGAAAATCTACTTCAAACCCACCAACAAAAACTTACACACACCCAGCTTCTGGGATCGGTACTGGCACAGTACCGAACTCGTCGCTTCTACAATTCGATTACAATGTTGTAGCAGCCGTTTTAAAGAGCGCAAAATACCCTGAACCCAGCAAAAGTATCGTGACTGGAAGTGACAAAGAATCGCCAAAATCCGAGATTAAGCGTTCGCGTTCCGATTTATCGTCAGTAATATTCCAACAGCTGACCGCACCGTTAGAAGCTGGTAAAATTACATGGTCACCATTAAGTGAGGAACTTACAGATTGTTCAGTAAGTTGTCAAATGTTGTTTAATTTATAAAGATCGTTTATTGTTTTTTCTTTCGCAGGACATATTCTCAACTGCAAATATTGCATATTTGCAATCTCTAAATGGCGCCGATGTCATACTCGATGTATGTATTTCGTTGCCTATTTTATCACGTTATCGTGCGAAATATCATGAAACTATCGATGTATTCAATACAAAACCGTTATACTTGCCCTTGACACAACCCGATGCTGTACAAGTTAAAAACACACTTGCTCACATGGTCACAGATATATCCATCCTTTGGCAGGCTCTATCATTACCCATCATGCAACCACTTTCGCCCAGCCGTATTACTAAACTATCCAACTGTGCTATTTCGTCGCTTTACTGTGCCGTATTGACATCAATTGCGAGCAGTGTGCTCAGCATGACTAGCTCAACTTCATCGCAAAAGAGCCAGCAATCGTCAGGCGGTGGTGGTGGCACCCAATCAAAAGAAGCCGATGAAGCCGAAGAACATGCACGCTTCATTGTTGATAAAGCTCTCGAAATTTACACTATCATTGGTAACGTTTTCAAAACATCTGCCCGTTCTCATATCTACCAGAATCATTTGTGTTTTGGAGCCTGGCTATTGGTTAGTGGCATACAGGGTGCACTGGGCGCATCAGGTAGCGGCGCAGCGAGTAATAAATCAGCGGTACAAGCTGATGATGCTTCCAAATCTAAGATAGCAAGTGGTGCTATTCAACGTACTCCAGAAACACCATCCACACCAACAGCGCGTGTTAATCTATTCAAAGTACAGCAAGGTTTTGGCGTACTAAATGCCGCAATTGCAAACCATTGCATTAAACTGCTCAGTGAACTTGTCGAGGATCTTAAAATTGAATCCACATGTAATGACATTGGTGTTAATAGTAATAATCAGAATTTACCAGAAGCTGCGAGTTTCGATATACTGGAAAACTATACATCTCTCCAACGCATTATTCGTGTACTCAACACCGCTACTTTACATCAACTCTTTACGTTTCTTGCTACAGTTTCTTATAGAAAAGCCTGTGCGCTCAAACGGGCAAATGCCAAAGATCGTACAGAATGTGAAGCTATCAGCTATTCCGACTCAACTACATACTTTAACGATACACTTTCTTGTTCGGATAATTCTGAAGAGGATGATAGCGAAAGCTATCTGGGTCATTGGTTCAAAGAGACACTGTCGCCTGAGGCGAACGATGACGCTGCAAACGCTCAGGCTCAAGAACGTGTCAATGAGGCACAAAAATCCAATCTGGTACCAGCAGTTGACGAGCCACATGAATATTTGGATTTAGCTGCACAAATCTTTTGCTTCATGGAACAATTTTTCGCAAATAAACATGCCTATTTACATCGCTATGTGAAGGCAGGACTGAGCGATCAACAAATGTTATTGCTGGCAAATATACTAAAGGATCTTGATCGTGATGCAGCACGTGGGGAAGCTGAAACATCTACATGCGCTAAATGGCAAGCTGCAATGATACGTTTCTCAGGCGCCGTTGGACGTTATTTACACAACTTAATATCGGCTTCGTTGTTAAGCGAGTCCTTGCAATCAAATTTACTACAGCAACTTTCAATTTCACCGTGGTCGACAGACACTAACGCTTGGCCACTGCAAGTATATCCCAGCACATTGTCTGTGCTAGTGCAAATTCTGTTGCTTAAGCCAACACAGGAGAAGGAGGCCGCCTGTTTATCCGTCTGGCACCGCCTAATCAACACACTTGTAGAGGGTGTTTGCTGCACTTCGGTCGCGAGCACAGCATCAGATGTCGATTATGAGGATCTTAATATGGAGCATGCACAACTGCTACTCTTTCTATTCCATTCGTTGAACTTGATGCAGAAGAAGATGATACTTCTGCTAACTGCCGGCGCTGTTACCCGTTGCGCTGAAGTATGCCGTGGCATTTCACCTGACAAACCTGTGCGCAATAGCCAAATAATGTTACTATCACGTTTGCTGCTGTTTCTTGAGTATTTAATGAAGCATTTGTATAATGCACCACCTGAATTACTGGATCAAGTGCGCTGGAACTTGTTCAGCATAACGACAATGCATGAAAATCAGAAAGTATCTGATTTGTTGAACAGCAAAACGAAGCTGACATCTTTCTGTCGCAAGGATATTGAAGAGAAGTTCCGCAAATCCTCATCGGACTACCTATCTAGTAAGAAATGTTCACCAAATGCCAGCAATAATATTTCTAATGAAATATTCTTTAACATTTTAGATATACGTCCAACGTTTTATTCGCTCACTGTTGTCGACCCAGCTGCTACTTCGACGCAACAAGAATTCAGACTCGATGGTCTAGCTTGGAATTTCATACTCTGTACGCCGGACAAATTGAAATACCCACTTCTTGTAGATGCATTAATCGATATACTCTCCGTCACTGACATGTCACAAAACAAAGTCACCTCACACACCCTATGCGCGATGCAATATTGTTTTAGCATTTGCTGGAAGTTGCTGCTGGGTCTGCCGCCCTCTACGGTGCATGTAGAGTCGTTGATGGAAGATAAAGTCCCTAATTTACACTCGCTTTTGTGGTCTATACGTTGTCCTATGTCAACATCACATTACTTAATAGTGAATAGTTTAATAAAGCAAGGGATGTACACACAATTTGCTGAAACTTTATGGTCGAATGTTAGTGATCGTGTAAGCGATATTGGCTTCAATTTGAAACAGACTTTGCTGGGAGTTGAGGCATTTAACAATGCAGTGGACAAAGGTGAGTTGAATATTGAACAAGCAATCGAAGAAGTATTTTATAACTTTCGATCTATACTCCTTACAGTAAATCCGCGCCTATCCCACATCATCCTTCTTGATGCGGTAGTTGCGCACATGCAAGCTGTGGCTTGGGCCGCTAAAGAAGGTATTAAGCTTCAGCGTGCTGCAGCAAGTAGTAATAATAGCGGCAGCGCTAGTCCCAGCTTGCCAAGCTCGAATTCGCCAATTACCACAGGCGAACCGGACGTCTATTCCTCTTCGGAATCGTTGGATCAAAAAAATAAAACCTCCGATTCGCCATCTAATTTGTTACAAGAGCGCGCTCAAATTAGCCGGGATTTGCTGTTATTATTGGTGGAAACTTATAAAATCGTATCAGAAACTGTACGCAGCAAAATGACCTTACAACTTACGGACGCAACCCCACTTAACATACTAAACCTAATCGTACCAATTGTTAGCTCGCAAAATCCACTCACTTCTGAGTTAAATGCAACCTTTATTAAGCTATTGCCGAATCAAGATAAAGACATAATCAATGTTGAGTGGACAAAGTGTTTCCGCGTATCTGAAAATTCTGTATTCGCCAAGCCTAACTATCCAGTAGAGGAGTACACATTGACTGTAATTGAAGCGCATATTGTAGAGCTTACACGCTACAATAACTACACGCTTCTGAACTCACTAAAACACTGCATGAAATCCATATTGACTCTGATTGACTTGATACTTCCATATTGCAATGTAGATGTCGCAGCCAGCACAGGCACTACAAATGTCGACGTTGACATTGAAAAAGAATTGAAATCGATACTTATTTCGACCATGCTCGATGTGCGTATGGAATATGTTTACGAAAGAAGCGAGAAATGTATGCATACGCTTATGAATGGTCACGATGACAGCTCCGAAACGCAACAGCTGCTCGTTTATGAATACACGTTGAGGCATTGCTATAAATTGTTATTAGAATTCGCCGAGGAACTGCGTCAATCGCAAGCGAATACAAATAAAGTGATCTTCAGCGAAGTGATGCTCTTCGCTGTGCTCAAAACAATGACCCAAATGCTTGATAAACCCACTGGCGTAAAGGCAATGCGTAATTTCTTCAAAGTGAACAAGGAAGGAAGCATGGTGGAACTGCTGTTATCGTTCACAGGCACCACTATGTCGGTTTCTTATGCAAGAAAATTGTTACAATTCGTCGAGAAACTATTCCAATTAGCCGAACAAGTGGATAGTAATTTCCCCATGGATGATATGGTGCAGTGTTTTGCAGAATTAGCCAATGTTGATGGTGCGCGCACCAAAGCTTGGTTAAGTCATGTCATTTATGGGCCTAACGGTGCTCAAGGCGGTTCAGATACAGTGGACAAAGTGCTCGCAAGCATGCAACCCTCCAGTACGCCATCGAGTAATGCACAAACCCCAACAAATATGGCGACCGTATCGGCGATACCTAGCATAACAGATCAGTTGGCTCAATCTTCGGGTTTGGATGCAGAAGCTATGGAGATTGACGATGATGGTGCCGTGGCATGTGGACCCACCATACTACAGGTAATGAAAGAAAAGTTATGAATTAGTCAAATTAAATTAACTAACGCCATTTAATTTTGCAGGCAGAGACGTTCAACCTTTGGCAAAATGCCGGTAATAGTTATGTGACTAATCAGTCTGATGAATCGTCGCAGGATGCGGAAAATAACGATCGTAATGGTGCACTGCTGCTAAGCGTTGTGAAGTACATAACACGCGATGGCAAAGCTCCACCCGGTGTCGCCATGACTCTCTTCCAATCGCTCCTACAAATTGGACAAACGCACACGCAGGAAACATCTGATTTCGCCGATATTCTACAGGTAATGATCACACTGGCCGATACCACACAAGGGCGCGGCCATGCTACGCTCTTTAATGCCACAATAGTTTGGCTGGAAATCACCGAATTCCAAGTACTCGAGCGTGCTTTGAATCCTAAGAATCCGAATTCCCTGGTTCCCACCGTTACTCTTGAGAATATCAACGCGCTGCTCAAATATCTTAGTGAATTACTTCAAAGTCTGGGCTACAAAGGTAGCAAGAATCTAACACCACCATGGGATGATGAAATGCAGACCGATTTGGAGGAACTAATGGATGATTTGGGCATCGAGGAGGATGATTCATTTGTCGAGGACTCCGATGAAGATAGTCTCAATAATAAGCTCTGCACATTCTCACAAACACAAAAAGAGTTTATGAATCAACATTGGTATCATTGTCACACCTGCAATATGGTGAATACAGTAGGTGTGTGCTCGGTATGTGCACGCGTCTGTCACAAGGGACATGATGTCAGTTATGCCAAGTATGGCAACTTCTTCTGTGACTGCGGCGCCAAAGAGGATGGCTCGTGCCAAGCGCTTAGTCGACGTGTTTCATCAAGTGGCGGCGTTGGCGGCAGTGGCACTGGTGCGGAAAGTCGTCAACTTATTGATTATAGTCAAAGCGCATACGCTAGTAATATGAATGTGTTGAACAGCAAGAAGCGCGCTCAGACACCTCCTTCACAAATTGCTGCCTACACACAACGCGTGGAGGCACCCAACGAACGCGTTACTTTGTTAACGAAGTTATTGGAGTCGAGTCGTGAAGTGCTTCAGAACAATGAACAGTGGAGCGTCATCGTGCGTTGCATACTCGATTTCTTTGATGTGCTATTACCATCAATTCGCGAAAATTGCGCACTCTTCTCTATTGTTGGTTGCCACAAGCGCGCAAAGGCAGCACTGGATCGCCTACATACACCCGAACAAGCTTTCCAAATAACCGATCAGTTGATGGTGCCAACTCTGGGTTCACAGGAGGGTGCCTTTGAAAATGTACGCATGAGCTATTCGGGCGATCAAGGCCAAACTATAAAACAGTTGCTTTCGTCTGGTTTGGTTCGACGCGTTGCATTGTGTTGTCTCTCCTCGCCACATGGCAAACGTCAGCATTTAGCTGTATCACATGAAAAAGGAAAAGTTACCATTTTACAGTTATCAGCATTGCTGAAGCAAGCAGATGCTGCTAAGCGTAAACTCACGCTCACACAACTCTCTTCTGCACCTATTCCTTGCACTGTTCTCTCACTTACCGCCAACCCAGCGAATGAGGACTGCTTGGCTGTTTGTGGACTAAAGGAGTGTCACATTCTGACATTCTCGAACAGTGGCGCTACAAACGAACACATTGTTTTGACTCCACAACTGGAGAATGGCAATTTTATTAAAAAGGCTAATTGGTTACCAGGATCGCAGACTATGTTGGCGCTTGTTACTGCAGACTATGTGAAAATCTATGAACTCGCAGAGGATTCATATAGTCCAAAGTACTATTTCCTCGTTGCTGTGGGAAAAATACGTGACTGCACATTTGTTTACCAAGATGGCGTATATTACATGCTGATCATTGCCTCTTCTGGATACATTTATTATCAGAAATTGGATGATCAGAGTTTGGCTAAACATGGTGATTTCTATGTAACAAATACCTTGGAATTAAATCACCCGCAAATCAAGGATGTTAGTGGACAAGTCGGTGGCGGTGGGGTCTCAATTTACTACTCACACACGCTGCAACTGTTGTTCTTCAGTTATTCTGTTGGCCGCAGTTTTATGACTCCACTTACCGATGTCAATAAGGGCGTGAAGAGCATCACAAATCTGCAGACGGCACCAGCTTCAAAGAACTCATCCAAAGGTCCTCCGCAACCCTTGTGCCAATGGACCGAAATTGCCGGACATCCTGGCTTGATATGTGCCATGATGCACACCTCTAATAATCCAGTTATATTTATGTTTACTCCAGAACGTATACTCATGCAGGAGATCAAAGCACAATCGTCTAAATCTCGCATTATGGACATGGTGGCCATACGCCACACTGTGTCTGGTGTGGAGAAGACAACACTTATATTGTTGTGTGAAGACGGCAGCTTACGCATTTTCACCGCTCAACCAGAAAATACCAGCTTTTGGCTGTCACCGCAAGTGCAACCCTTTGGCAACCAATTGTATTCCTCGACACTTTTCGCAAAATGCAACTCTAGCAAAAAATCAAAGCGTAAAACAACAAATCAACAGAAAACTGTGGGTCCCAATGGCGCACCAATATTCCCAATCGATTTCTTCGAACATTGTACGATGCTCTCCGACGTAGAGTTCGGCGGCAACGATCTATTGCAAATTTATAACAAACAAAAACTTAAGACACGTCTTTTTTCAACTGGCATGTTTGTGGCGTCAACAAAGCCCATAGGCTTCACTCTGGAAGTGTACAACAACGATCCGAACACAGTAATTGTAGGTATACGCGTTTTGCTCGGCACTCAGGATCCACTTCGTGCGCCGCAAACCGTCACTGTGCTAGGACGTACAATACCGACAGTAGTACGACGAGCACGCTGGTTCGATATACCGCTTACACGTGAGGAGATCCTACAATCTGATAAAAGTTTGAAAGTAATTTTCGGCAAGTCACAAGATCCCGAGAACGTCGGCATGCTCGATAGCATTGAGGTCTACGGAAAGTCAAAGGATTTAGTTGGTTGGCCAGATGACAACGATGACACCGCCGGCAATGCTGTGGCAGGTACAACGAACAACACCAATGCCAATTTTAATGGCCAACTATCGGCTGCAAACTTTGGCGAAGGCTTCACCTCCATAAACAATCTTGATAAAATGGTAACAAATCTGTTAGAGGTACTTGACTACTCTTTGGACTTACTTGGTGGTAACAACGTAGCTGCGGCCATCAAACAGAAGGCTATAAAAACTGCAACTTCACTACTTCTTTTACCCACACCAAATCAGGTGCAGGCTCAGTCGCGTTATGTATTGGCTACTTTGTTCGGTAATCGCAATGCATATCATTCATACAAAGACAACGAGGTCATACACTATGTGAACCAAGAACTGCAGGCATTGAAAACCAAAATAAGTACACCAGAAATGGTTTGCGATATCGACCCAGAAGCTTTCTACCGCTTAGTGTTGTTGGTGCGCGGTATAGCAATGTCACGCCCACAATCACTCACGAAAATTTGCCTTGAGAACAAAATCGAACTTGTCCAAGACATTCTGCAGTTTGTCGAAAAGCTCTATCAAATCACTCCACGTGTGGACGAGCCAACTTCGATCGTTAGGCGTGGTCTCAGCCATACCGAAACTATTGTCCATTGCTTGGTTGAGGTAATGCACGCATTTGCACTTTCCGACGCCAACCAAGTTGAAAGCATGACAAAATACTTCATAGACCTTCTTAAGAATGAGTCGAGCGTCATAAGTCATAGCGCCAAGGAGGCTATTATACTGCTACTCAATCCACGTTTAAAGCGGCGCAAAGTTGCTATTGTAACGCCGCCAGTTTGTTCGACGCCTACACCATCGAATACCACTGCGACTATTACTTCATCCAATCTAACATCTCTCGCAGTGGCGGGTGCGGCTGAAGTGACCGCCGACGAGGTTTTAGAAGCAGCTGCAGTAGGAGGTCCGTCAGCTGCTGCAGTAGGTCGCAGTAATAGCGTTGAATTTGTAGATGCAAGTGCATTAGACCCACTCGCACATGATGCTGGACACCAGCTCTTAAATTTGGAAGCTTTCATGGGTGGCGGCTTCCCGCAATTACTGGGTCTACAGCAAGACGCCGACGATGAGGCAATAATGGATTTAGCTATAGCATTGAGTTTGCAACAGCACGAAGGCGAAGGACTACAATCCTTGCAACAAGGCTTAGCAAATCTACAGGGCATACGAAATGCGGGTAATTTACATAACTTACAAGCTCTTGAGGGCAGCAATATGGGTATGGCGGCTAACGCTGCTAGTGTTTCGGCCGGTGGCTCCGACGATGAAGGTTCAAATGTAGCAACGGACGGTTCAACATTGCGCACATCACCTGCAGAGCCGGCTGGAAGCGGGGGTTCGGAGAGTGGTGGCAGTGGTGTTGAGAGTATTGGTGGTACATCAGGACGCAGCAGCACCTACGGTGATCAAGCGAATGCTTCCCCACCGCGCTCAGCAAATGCACAGTCTGACTTGCATATGGCTAATAAATCGAATACAAGTGCAGGCGCAGTAGGTGGAGCAGATGAACCAGTTGCCAGTACAAGCGCTGCAGCTGCCGCTGTGGCAAGCACAGCAAATGAAGATGTTATAACTGAGGATGAAAATTTGGCCAAGTTGCACGATTTAAGGTAAATAATATTAAAATTAAAATGTTATGTGTTATCTAATTTGTTTTTAGAATTTCAATTTTGGAAAATATTATCCTCAACATACACACGTTTGACAATTGCAATGGTGTTCAAGCCATACCATTAATACAAGTTATACTAATGCTGACGACCGACCTGAATGGTAACAACGAACGCGACCAAAAAGTGTTAAACGAATTGCTATCTGCATTGGTCGACTACGTAGAGATGGACTCCATTTCGAATACGTTTAAGGTAAGTAAAATATGTGATATCATAGAAAAGCTACAGCTCATTTTTGCCATGAACATTTTTCTAAAAACAAAAATATCACAAGTGGAATAGTATAATCTTGCTCTCGAACTGGTTCAGATTAGATAGAGCTCAGATTTTGTTGAACTATTTAAGATCTAGCAAACGATATAAAACGATTAAAATTGCAAACTGCTCTTAGCAATAAAGGTGAATTAAATATAAATATAAAACAAACATTTAAAATTTCTGATTAATAGACAAAGGAGCTCAAACAATGCAAAATTTCCAATTTTTTTTTAATTTTTTTTTTCTGGTTAATCGCCAAATTTTACATTTCTCCTTCCAAAAAAGCCTACTCAGAAATTGTTTCCCTTTACATTACCAAATTTCAAACCAATTTTTTCTGGGAAGATGAGATAGGTATCCAGAAGATTTAAATCATATAATCGGCGAGCCCTGTAGACATCTTAAAATTTCTGTGAGCTCCGTGGTTGGATGAGGTACGGTGAAACGGTTAATGCCACAATATACCTCTTGGTCGCAATGCTAACCTCTTATAACATATTAATCTATCATGGCACAGGTGATTTCGCTCGATAGGTGTGCCCAATAGTAAAGTATCCATGTTAGTTTACCTAAGCATGTATTCATAGAAATCTTATAGATCTGATATATAAAGTGAGGTTCGCCCGAACTTAGGCTTTAATTAATTAATTTATTATTTTCATTTACCACTACATCCTATTCTGATCATATGTAATTACGGCTTTATATATGTAGATCGGAAGTCGTTCAAGTACACACCTTTATAATATCTTCAGTAATTAATATCTCTCTGACATTTCTGGTTAAAACCTTGAGTACTGTAACAGACTAAATTTTTATCGATGCGTCACAATTTCTGAGTTATTTTTTTTTTATCAGATGAAGGATCGCAATGCTAAAAACGAAGTGCGACTGGTATTGCTCTGTCTTTTCGGTGTATTGATGGGTAAGACAAAGTCAAAGCAAGCCGGCACCACATCACCGCCACATCAATTCAAAGATAACGCCTCGTTTGTGGCAAGTACTACTGCAAGCATTCTCAGCAACAACGGCGCATTCACATTTTCATTAGTTGTAATGGAATCCCTGCTTGAACACTGGAAGCGGGTTTCTAGCGAACAAAGCGCCAATGGGAATAATACATCAGCAGCATCTAGCACACCAATCGCTGGCGCTGCAACAACGTCATCACAAAATAATCTACTCAAACCAATACGCTACGGAGCCAAGCCAGATATTTCAATGCTAATACCGCACAACTATTTGAAAAATTACCCGGACATTTTTGATTCATATGATGCATTGCTAACGGAAATTTCAGTACGTTTACCTTATCAAATACTCCGGCTTTCTGCCACTCATCCAGGACCTTATGATTGGTATCACAACTATTGTGAGAATATGACTTACACGCTCTGTGAATATATGATGCTGAATTTAAATGCGTTGTTGCGGCGTCAAGTACGCAAATTACTAATGTATATTTGTGGCAATAAAGAGAAGTTCCGCATGTTCCGGGATGGCCACTCACTGGATGTGCATTTCAACTTTGTAAAGGAGATTTGCAGTCTCTTTAATACCAAGGTGGGTTGAAGGTTCAAATCATTTTTTGGCTCTTGACTTATTTTTAATTCATTTCAGAATTTGGTACTTTCGAATCAATCTATACCAATACTCAGCTATGACTCCCTTGTCGATCTCACCGAGCATTTGCGCACTTGTCAAGAGATCAGTCAGATACGCACTGGTAATTGGCAAAAGTTCTGTCTGATTCACGAGGATGTCATACCGGTTTTAATCGAAATCGCCTGCTACCAACTCGATGATGGCGTTTCACCAATTCTACTGCAACTTCTTCAAGCGGCACTTTGCAATAACATTCAAGCTGTAAAACAACAACAGCAGCAACAACAGCCAGGCACCTCCTCAAAATTGCGTAGCGATCGTGACAAGTCTGAAGAAATTGAAATTTCATTCGATTCGAAATTCGATCCAGCACATTGCAGCACATTCGTACATCAGATATTCCGTTTTGTTTCCGATACGTTACTAAATAAATTTGTACGCATTTTCTTACTGGAGACAAATATAACCTCAATACGCTGGCAGGCACATTCGTTGATCTTCGCGATTTACGAAAACTCGAATGACCGCCAAAAAGAGAAACTGATTAGTATTTTGTGGAACATGTGGCCATTAGTACCTGCTTTTGGTCGTCGTACAGCACAATTTGTTGATATTCTTGGCTATTTGACGCTTAGCACAAAGTCGATTGTTGACAAATTGCCCGAGTACACGGAGAAGGCAGTGGAAGTGCTACGCCAACAAAATGATCTACTATCGAAGCATCCGAATGCACCTATTTATACAACACTTGAGCAAATACTGCAAATGAATGGCTATTATCTTGAGTCGGAACCATGTTTGGTGTGCAACAACCCAGAAGTGGCGATGGCTAATATTAAATTGCCATCGATTAAGTCAGATTCGAAATTCACAACAACCACAATGATTGTGAAATTGGTACAGAGTCACACTATTTCCAAAATGATTGTACGCATTGCAGATTTGAAACGCACGAAAATGGTGCGTACCATCAATATTTACTACAACAATCGCACTGTACAGGCTGTAGTTGAGCTCAAGAATCGGCCAGCCATGTGGCATAAGGCGCGTTCAGTCACATTGCAATCAGGACAAACTGAGGTGAAAATTGATTTTCCGTTACCCATTACCGCTTGCAATTTGATGATTGAATATGCCGACTTCTACGAGACCGTAACTGGCTCAAGTGAGAACTTACAATGTCCACGCTGCAGTGCCGCAGTGCCAGCATATCCGGGGGTCTGCGCAAATTGTGGTGAAAATGTATTCCAATGTCACAAATGTCGCGCCATCAATTACGATGAAAAGGATCCCTTCCTATGCCACTCGTGCGGATTCTGCAAATATGCTAAATTCGATTTCAGCATCTATGGTCGCGTTTGTTGTGCTGTCGATCCAATCGAATCGGCAGAAGATCGCGCCAAAACCGTACAAATCATACATTCTTCACTAGAACGGGCCGATCGTATTTACCGCCAATTGCAAACTAACAAACAAATGCTGGAATTACTCATACAAAAGGTGGCCGAACATCGCTGTTCCGATCGGCTGGTAGATGACAACCTCGGTACAGTGCATAGCACTTCGCAAGTCAACAAAATTATACAGCTATTGGCGCAAAAGTACTGTGTAGAATCGCGAAGTTCCTTTGAGGAACTGAGCAAAATAGTGCAGAAGGTTAAAGCGTGTCGTAGGTACGTTTCCAGCGCAAAGAGATTTGTAAGTCGTTACTTCATTCACATTTATGTATCTCTTATTTAATTTTATAGCGAATTGGTGGCTTATGATCGCAGCCAACAGGATCAATCTCACAACTCACAAGGCATGGATATGCGTGAAAACTGCGCCATAAACCGTTGTTACGGTTGCGCATTGGCATCCACAGAGCAATGTCTTACATTGCTACGGGCTATGGCCTCTAACTACGAATGCCGCATTGGTTTGTATTCCCAGGGTTTGGTCGAAGAATTAGCACAACACAACCTGCGGCGTGGCACGCCACAAATACAAGATGAAGTACGCAATTTGCTTGTGCTTTTGACAAAGAATAATCGAGATGCTTGCATGAGTTTGTTGGATTTGATTACCGAACGTGTAAAAACGGCTTTGCTGGGCGCCATACCCTTGGCTAATTTGGATGCAGCAATACACCATGAGATGGTTTTACTGGAGGTGCTCATTGCACAAGATGATTTCTGTTGGGAGAACAAATTGAAAGTCGTATTCGAGCTGTTCCTAGTAACATGTCGGTGAGTTTTGATTTGAAGATTTTATTTGCATATGCATACATAAATAGTAAGTTAGATTGCTGCCCGAATATTGCATTGCGGTTATCATTATGGAAAAAAAACACAGGGAGGGAAAAAGTATCTGCATAGCATTTGAAAAGTTTATTATAAGTTTATTTTATTTATTTTTATTTTTGATTAAATTTCCAGTACACCTCGCGGTCCCGCTATATCTGTTATTCAGCCCTGCTTACGTATTATGCAAGCTCTTATTTGCCCCACACTACCTACGAGTAAATTAAATCGCGATTTGAGCCCATCGCAATTATCGACTATCAGCAGTATTGATGGGATCACAGTCAATTTCAATAAGTGGTTAAGTGGTGACCCACAGCATTCATACGACGTTTGGAAAACGCGCATGCCAGCGAACACAGCAGTAAAAGCACGTAAGGGATTTACGAGCGCTAGTGCTAATTCAGCTGCCTCTATATTACCAGACGATCGTATGCTAGCCGCAATGCTACAATCTGTAGTTGAACAAAATAGTGGCTCTAACACTGGTATTAGCATGGCAATGCCACCAGCAGAACCCACTAATTCGACAAAGAAGAAACGACAATTAGTTCGCGAATTCTATTTGTCCGAGAAGTATGGTCGTCGCTGGCGTAATTGTGTGCTTAATAAAGAACATCTTAATGCGCCACTAGTGTTGAGCGCTAGCTGGTTACAACCTATTTTATTCAACACAAATTCACGATTTGGCCGCCAACTGGCCTGCTCACTCATCACTTCTTTGAGCCGCACGCATGAGCGCAAGCGTGAAATACTGAATTTGTTGACTGGTTTTCTAAAGTATGTCGGTGATGCGGGTGAAGCAAGCGCGGAGTTCTTGGCTTTGTATCGCGCTCTAGCGGCCGATACGCCATGGCGTCAGTATTTGGCACTAAAAGGTGTGCTTGCTGAAGTCTCACAACTACTGACAGCGGAAATAGTTAAAATACATCGCCTGGAGGAGACCACATTGTCATCTGATTTATCCCAAGGTTACGCACTGCGCCAATTTGTAGAGTTGCTCTCGCTCTTCCTTGAAAGCGCTACCATACGACAGGCGTATAAAACACGCCTCCTTGGACCAGTGCTTGAGGGTTACTTATCATTGCGAAAATTGGTTGTACAACGTACGCGGCTTATCGATGATGCACAGGAGAAACTGCTAGAAATGTTGGAAGAAATGACTAGCGGCACTGAGGAGGAAACTCGCGCATTTATGGAGATTCTAATCGATACTGTTGAGAAAACGCGCATGAACGATATAAAGACTCCGGTGTTTATATTCGAGCGACTATACTCCATTATACATCCAGAGGAAAATGATGAAAGTGAATTCTTTATGACGCTGGAAAAGGATCCGCAACAAGAAGATTTCCTACAAGGACGCATGTTGGGAAACCCTTATCCCTCTACTGAAGTAGGACTTGGTCCACTTATGAGGGATGTTAAAAATAAGATATGTACTGATTGTGAGTTGATAGCGCTGCTGGAGGATGATAATGGAATGGAATTATTGGTTAATAATAAAATAATCAGCTTAGACTTACCCGTCAAGGATGTTTACAAAAAGGTTTGGCTAGCAGAGGGAGGCGAACGTGATGCCATGCGAATTGTATATCGCATGCGTGGGCTGTTAGGTGATGCCACGGAGGAGTTTGTCGAAACGCTAAATAATAAGAGTCAAGAAGAAGTCGACACGGAACAGCTCTACCGCATGGCAAATGTTTTAGCCGACTGTAATGGCTTGAAAGTGATGCTCGATCGCATTGGCAGTTTGCAAAATATATCACGAACTCGTGAATTGATACAAGTACTACTCAAGTTGTTCCTTATTTGTGTGAAAGTGCGCCGTTGTCAAGAGGTACTCTGCCAACCGGAATTGGGCGCCATCAATACACTGCTCAAAGTATTGCAGATGTGTTTGCAGTCTGAAAATGATTCGATACAATCGTCGGTAACTGAGCAATTGTTGGAGATAATGGAGACCATACTATCGAAGGCAGCCAATGACACACTGGACTCATTTTTGCAATTCTCGTTGACATTTGGTGGGCCAGAATATGTATCGGCGTTGATATCATGCACAGACTGTGGAAATGTTCGCAATAATCCGTCAGTGCTACGGCACCTTATACGTGTACTGGCAGCGCTGGTTTATGGCAATGAAGTAAAGATGGCATTATTGTGTGAGAACTTTAAGGTGAGTTAAATATAGTGTTTAAGATTTGTGTAATAAAGTGTTTATAAGTCTTGTGACTACTCTCTGCATCACACCACTAGTGATTACTCTTAGCACTTTTGAACTTAATGTATTTAACATTTGTCTTAATTTTTAAGTTTTAGTAACACTTAATTAGTGTTAGTTGAGTAGTCTTTGCATTCCAAGACTGAAATAAATAAATAAAAATAAATATTTAGAGCAAGTTCTCAGTGCACATCCTCCATTATTTCTAAATATGTATGTCTTTTTCTTGCAGGAAATTCTCGATTTCAACCATTTCGATAGTGAGCGCACACCCGAAGAAGAATTTAAAATGGAGCTCTTCTGCGTGCTAACCAATCAAATAGAACATAACTGTATCGGTGGCACCTTAAAAGACTATATTGTAGGATTGGGTATTGTTGAGCGTGCCATCGCTTATATTACCAAGCATGCACCTTGCGTTAAGCCAACACTACTGCGCACCGATTCCGATGAATTGAAAGAGTTCATCTCGCGTCCAAGCCTGAAGTATATTCTACGTTTCCTCACTGGACTCGCAAGCAAACATGAGGCTACACAGCTTGCCATCAGCAAAGATATTATACCAATAATACATCGTCTCGAGCAAGTATCCAGTGATGAGCATGTCGGCAGTTTGGCAGAAAATCTTCTAGAGGCTTTGTGCACCGACGAAGCTACTGCAACAAGGGTACAGGAAGTGCGTGACTTCACACGCGCCGAAAAGAAACGCTTAGCGATGGCCACACGTGAGAAACAACTGGACGCTCTGGGCATGCGCACGAATGAGAAGGGTCAAGTGACAGCTAAAGGTTCTATACTTCAAAAAATTGAAAAATTGCGTGATGAAACTGGTCTGACCTGCTTCATATGCCGCGAAGGTTATGCCTGCCAGCCAGCCAAAGTACTGGGCATCTACACATTCACGAAACGTTGCAATGTTGAGGAGTTTGAATTGAAGTCGCGTAAAACTATTGGTTACACCACTGTCACACACTTTAATGTGGTGCATGTGGACTGTCATACCTCGGCCATACGTTTGGCACGTGGCCGTGATGAGTGGGAACGTGCTAGTTTGCAAAACGCCAATACTCGCTGTAACGGTTTACTACCACTTTGGGGTCCAGACGTTTCGGAAGCCGCTTTCTCGGCATGTATGACACGTCACAGCAGTTACATGCAAGAGAGCACGCAACGTTGTGACATTTCCTTTCCCAGCAGTATACACGATCTGAAAATGATACTGATGCGATTCGCATGGGAGCGTAGCTTCCACGATGATGCTGGCGGTGGTGGTCCCCAATCGAATATGCACTTTGTGCCCTATTTGCTCTTCTATGCAGTTTATTTGCTGTTGTCCTCACGCTCAGCCGCTCGTGATTGCAAAACCTTAATTGCATATTTGACGGCCGCCCCTTCGGATAAGTGGTTGGAATGTGGTTATGAAGTCGAGGGGCCGTTGTATATGTTAAGTATATCATTGGCATTACACAGCCATGAAACATGGAATAAGCATAAATTAGCACATTTGAAACGTTTAATAGCCGTAGCTCAGGCGCGTCACATCTCACCATCGGTGCTGTGCAAGGCACTTTTATCGCAAAGCGATCGCCAAACGAAAGATTACATTGTCTATCGTCCATTTTTGATGATGTGGGCTCTGATCGATTTAATCTATAGCGTACTATTCAAATCCGTAAGCACTCCGAAAGAGGAAGACTGGTCGATTTCGTTGTTCGATTACATTCGAAAGAACGATGAAGCTATGCTAAAGTCCACAGACACAATTTTGCAAACTTTCACCGAAGAATTTCTGCCGTGCACATCGTTCGGCGAATTCTGTGATGTAGCTGGTAAGTGAATTAAATGTGTTTTTAACCGACTTCACAAAAAAGAATAATAAAATTATAGTTTAAAAAACTTTGCCTTTCGTACTGTCATCAGGTATGTAACTTGAGAATAGAAATCGCTGATTTAGGCGCATAAATATTACATAGTTACATCCCGAGCTAATAAAAGGAAGGTAAAAAAAAGGTTATGAATTCGTCAGAGCATAACTTTGGACCACGTTAACCGATTTCTATAATTCTTTTTTTTAGGTGAGGTGTTACCTCACAGGTGGTCCCATATTAATTTGGTTTAAATCCGATCATCGGATCGTGAAGAAATTAACGATAATCTTAAATTTTTATATGAGAATTGAAGTCGGTTTTGTTTTTTTGCTTAAAAGTTACTTGTAGTATAAATTATGGTTGTATATTTTTTATAGTTATGCTAATAGCGCATTTTTTAAATTTCGATTTTTAATTATGATACAAAAATTTCTAGAAACCTTTAACATGTAAAATTTGACCTTAATACTTTGGTCGAACGTTTGTAGTGTCTATGAAACTTTCTTTTTATTTATCATATTTTGATTTTAATTATTGTGATTTTAGATGATTTGTGATTTTATATACTTTTTCAGGACTGCTGCATTTGATTGAAAATCCCGATGGGTTCATCGATGAAATCTTAGCTTCTCTACCCACAACATCATCAGCTTGAACTGGCAAAATTTTGCTTACATAATAATATAATTAATCAATTTGCTTCTAGTAGTCGATGGGTAGACACATAGCACGTTAAAGCACTGAATTTAAAACCATGCGTTGGAATATATTCACTACACACAATATCTGAATGTTCGCTGATAAATATTCGTACATATTAACCACATTTATTGCAAATTTAATCTCAATAAACCTTAACGTTCAATAAATAATTTTCTCTTTTTTTCCTTTTTTTCATTAAAAGGGATGTATTTCTAGGGACATGTTTTATTAGGGGTTCGATTTTCGTGAAATTTACGAAAGCTATATCATTGAATCCGAATAACTAAGTACATAGTATACAATATCATTTTCTATATAGAATACAATATCATTTTCGGCATCGTAATAGTTTACAACATATCGCACACCGTCTTCAAATGAGTCACAACTCAAAATTTAGAGCTTTTATTTACCTTTCAGCAAAAGTTGGAGCCAATTTTTGTTATAATTTGTTAAAAAAAAAAAACCTAAGGTAAAGTCGCCCTTGCCCATATGATTATCATGTGCTAAGAAATAGTTTTTCGCGTTTTCTAACAAACGTATTATTTCTCTTTTGAAGACGGTGTGCGATATGTATGTAATATAAAATATATTTATACATTCGTGTCTGTTCAAATTCAGTGATAGCATTGGATACGATACAATTTGCAAAAGCCCCAAAACTATACAAGAAATCAGCTGATCTATTATACTTCTACTACCTGTTCATTGAAAATCAAAAACCCGTTTTTGCGGCTAACCCTTTTTCCACGCTACTGTACAATTTGTCGTTCACTGTGTATGCGTACTCGCCAGTAAAAAAGTTGAAAATATGTTGAGATAGGGCACTTGTAGGGCCACTTCGAACTGGCTGCCGAGATAGATCGAACTTCCATTAAGGTGTCGACATGGGCGTAGCTAGGTAGTGGCAGGGGGGTGCTCGAGCCACCCCTCCCCCCCTAACTTTCAAATTTTCCTTATATATATATAAAATAGTACCCTGAAATGCCAGCTTAATAGGGTCGAGCCGCCTCCCCCCCTAAATTTCATTCTGGCTACGCCGATGGGTGTCGATATTAAATTGTATTAGTCAATTGAACTAAATGAACTAAAGAACTAGTTCACTAAGGTAAACGAACTACAACTGAACGGTTCACTCGGAAGAACTTAAGTACCCAACTCTAGATTATAGGTATCATAACGGCGCGTTTACATTGGACAATGCTGTCAAGACAATGAAGATATACGTATTAGTTGTCAAAATTGTTCCAGTGCAAAAGTATGTATTAGTGAAAAAGTGTGCATGTATTGCTATTGTCATGACAGTATTGTCCGGTGCAAACCCTCAGTAAACAAGATTCAGAGTTTCAGATGAAATTTCGATAAGCTTATAAAATCTGTCAAAAGTTTCTCTTCGATGCTTCCGATTAGGGTTGTTCCGATACCATCAAAGTATCGATACCTACTCAAACGAGTTTACTTAAATCGCTATTTCGATAGTACTTATATGAGTGAACCGAATGTATCGATACCTACTTATATCGATAATTTTTCATCCTTTTATATGCAACAAAGCGACAGTAAAGGCTGGTTTTAATTTTGACGCCAAAATTTGTCGACATATTTTGACACAACTTTATCTCATTTACCCATAAATTTGCCGATTAAATAATGGGCCAAAAACAGAAAGATAGCCGATATTGCTGTGCATGTACACGACTAAAGATCTATCCTTATCGAAATCAATCGATATAGCGCTTTTTAATCACATTTGACAATGTGTTTTCACTTATTTGACGACAAATGCCATTGAATTTGACATAGTGAAAACAAGCCTCAATTTTCAGGCGTTATCTGTGACATACCTTTTGTGACACATTAGTGGAAGATCGACCTACATATTTCGGTAGCCAATTCGAAAACGCCCTATCTCAGAAAACTTTTCAAAAGCGCCATATTTCAGAATTCGGTTTAAAAACGCCTTATCTCAAATATATTTTCAGTCGAGGTATCGATAGTAACACTAGACGTAATACGATAACTTAGACAAAAAGTTCAACCTCTGAAAGGTTCGAACAAAACTTTACGGCTACAAAGCATTGCTTGCACTTTGCTGTGGTATCACTAACTTTGTAAAAATATATCCACACTTTTGATTTTGGCGGGGCCATTGCTTAAAGCAATTATTTTTCATTGAAAAAATATGACCGTCAATATATGGCACTTGCTCAAATCGATTCGATACAAGTACTTTTCTTTCTTTTTAGTTGGTATCGAAAGAAAAGCATCGAGTGCATACTAGCATTTACTTGTATCGGAACATCCCTACTTCCGATGCATCGATATTTTTTACATCTCTAGTTTCTGTTGCATGATTAATATTTGCATTTTTTTGTAAATAAGTGGAGTAGCCTTCCAAATAGAGAATTTCAGTTATTTCAATAAAATAAGTATTCACGACATTAGGACGTATTTGTCGTAAACATGATTCCAAAGAAAACATTTGTGAAAGATGCACACATCGTGAAAATCGCTGTGGAGTTGGAGAATCACTTGCCGCAGCTTATAAATTTGGATCAGCGACAGCCTTTAACAGGTAAATTTTATTGAAAAAAAAATATCAACTAATTTTCATAAGTGCAGTAGATGCAACATAATTGAACAGCATTAACTGAAAGAATTGGTAAAAACCGTGCATAGTATATGTGTACATACATTTGAGCATAAAAGCTCTAGACAGCCAACGCCCTTCCGCAATTATGGCTGCATTGATTTCGAACGCAGCACCAGCAAAAGAGGCAAATTTGTGGCATAATGCCGATCTAGTGCCCCTATGTTTGACCAGATTTCTGTGGACAAATATCGGGACATTTCTAAAGCATCGAAACTGAACATACAGTTTTAGAATAAAAAGGCATAACATCTTTTAATACAGTTTTATTTCAAACAAAGGAAACAAAAAACTGGAAAAATGATCGCAAACATGTATACACATAGTATATTATTCTTATCCATGACTTTTTTGAGGGAGTTAGTAATATTTTTTATAATTTCACTAAGGTCACATTAGTATGGTTCGTTTAAAAAAATAACAAACTTAACAAACAATTATAATAATAGAATGATAGACTGCAATATAGCAAAAGTACCAATTTGACAGAATAAAACCTAACCAACGATCACGGAAAATAAATATGCTATGTTCATCACTTCCTTATACATATGCTATGTTCTTTGTGGTAACGAATGTGCTACCATGTTTGTCCGAAAAATGGTTTTTGGGCCAGAGTACGCGGAGACTCCTATTAATTAACCATTTGAAGACCGAATTAAGTTGCGTAGGGCTAAAACTTTTTCGATGGCGTATTATTGTTCCTTAATCCTCAAATACGAACTGGTATAAAAATTTAACGCCTATGACTTGGTTTGACCGTTATGAAATGTTGCTTATGTTTAAAAAGTTTCCTAACAAAAACCAATGACCTTTGTCAAGGTTTTATGTTTTTATTTCATTTTCTTTGTTATATTTTTGTGGCAAAAAAAAAATAATTTATTATATGTATTTTTATTAATGTTGCAAAACCCATTTTAAGCAACATTTATGTTACACAAGTAGTCACAACGAAAAGGTGCTAAAATCTAATTGGGTCTATAATTTTGCCAAGAGGTTCACCGTTTTGCCTTCACAACATTAGTGGCGTTCCAGATGCTTCACGATTTGCAGGTTTTACAGGATTTGCAGGAACAGCTAATTTCTCCATTAATAAACCTTATGGAAGGTGGTCACCTGGAACGGCTTCCTGTAAAAACCTGCAAATCGTGAAGCATCTGGAACGCAACTGTTGTAAAGAACAAATAATCTAAACCACAAGATTTATAAATCAAAATGTCAGTGTTGTCTATAAAAACATCTGTCCTCAAAGGGTTAATAAAGAAAAAACTGAAAATCTAGATTTAATCGGTACAAATATCAAAAGGCGGGATACTCATACGCCCCGATTAAAAAAATATTCAGCAGGCAACTTTCTTAAAGTCGGTACTGTCCCGCCAAAATCGGTACGAAAGGTCACCGTGCCTATATTATTCAATTCATAAACATCTCCGATATGCTTGAAAGTATTTCGCTAAATTTGCCAGTAAACTTCCACTTTAACATTATTTTTTGCAGGTAAGATACAAGAAATATGTAGTTGTTGGGGTATTGTCGATCCGGAGAACTATGCTTTGCAATTTTGTGATGTAAATAATCAAAAATATGTCACTGAGAAAAATCGCAATGAAATAAAAAATGGGTCAGTATTGCGACTGCAGTACTCACCTTCGAAAACTGCAAATGACACGCTGGAATCATTGCGCAGCGGGTCGACAATGGAGAAGACAAAATGTCTAAAACAACTCGCCACACTAAGTAAAGATCATACATTTGCCATGGAATTCATAAAAGAGCAGGGTTTAGGTATAATCATAAATATGATAGAGGATTCTGCGCAAAAAGATGACGATATACTCAAGTACAGCTTGGCCAGCTTTGTTGAGCTAATGGAGCATGACACAATTTCATGGGAAATATTGCAAAGCACTTTTGTTCAGCGCAATATTTACATAGTTTGTAATTTTCAACATTTCTCCAAAGAATGTACACAAAGTGCGCTTTCCAATTTGGAGAATATCGTACAAAATAGCAGCAAGTATGTACTAGTGGAAAAAGAAGTCACACTACAAGATCTACTGCATCTACTACAAGATGCCAATTCGGCGACAATTCAACAGAATGCTATAGCCCTCATCAATGCACTGTTTATAAAGGCGGATGAGGCACGCAAACGACAAATTGCGCACACGATTAGCGCCAAGCCATACCGGTTGGCTTTGATTGGCAACGCATCGGGTCGTCAAATGGAGATGACGCATCAATTGTATGTTTTGCAAACACTCACTTTGGGTTTACTAGAGCAAAGAATGCGCATGAAAATGAATGCACAAGATCAGGATGCACATGAGAAAATTAAAGAATTGCGACGTATTGCATTTGACGATTATTCTGGGCAAATGGGATTAGGCGATGAACAGTTGAGGCGCAGTGGGGGCGGTTCAGGCGGTGGTAATGTGAATTTTTCGCAATATTACAAGAAACTTGGTTTCAAATGTGATATCAATCCCGCACAGGACTTCATTGAAACGCCACCGGGTAAGTATTTAGCCACTGGGCGCATTTACATACATACATACATCTCTACTCTAAATAATGCCCTTAGGTATTTTGGCTTTGGATTGCATGGTTTACTTTGCACGCACCTATACACAACAGTATACAAAAATTGTGCATGAGAACTCATGTCGCGCTGATGAGCATGAATGTCCTTTCGGCCGCACCTCTATCGAGTTGGTGAAAGTGCTATGCGACATATTGCGGATTGGTGAACCACCAGCCGAACAATCTGCGGATTTTCAACCAATGTTTTTCACACATGACCATCCTTTTGAGGAATTCTTTTGCATTGGTATTATAACATTAAATCGCACATGGAAAGATATGCGCGCTACAGCTGAGGATTTTCAAAAAGTGTTTAGCGTTGTCCGCGAACAAATAACGCGCACACTTAAGGAACGTCCGGAGAATCTGGAAGAGTTTCGCGCAAAAATTGCTTTACTTACCTATCAAACCATAACTAATTTACGTCAACAGGAGCGTACATCAAAAGAGGAATGCGATTCAACTGCATCTGCTATTGTCAAATTGAAAGAAAAGATCTCACCTCATATACTCGACTTAATAAAACAACAGCGACTCTCATATTTGGTAGAAGGTGAGTGGAAATTAAGTATTATTTATGGTAACACATATTATGAATTGTTTAAATTACATTTCTTAGGCACACGTTTTTCGAAATACTCACGCGGTACACGCTCCAAAGACAAATTCTGGTATGCTCGCCTCTCGCCTAATCACAAAGTGATACACTATGGCGATTGCGATGAGAAAACCGTGCCAACGCTTGAAGAACTCACCAACAAAATAGCTGTTATCGATATTAAACAACTACTCGAAGGCAAAGAATGTCCACATATGAAAGAAATGCGTACACGCAAAAATGCCGGCAATCTGGCTTTTTCCATAACGCTCGATAGCATGGAGAATACAACTCTGGACTTTGTGGCGCCCGATGAGACCACGTTTCATTACTGGACAGATGGTATAAATGCTTTGTTGGGTCAGGAAATGACAAGCAAACAAAAGAAAGAAGATTTCGATACACTTCTATCGATGGAAATCAAATTGCGTTTACTGGACACGGAAGGTGTGGACATCAGTAAAGATCCGCCACCAATACCTGAAGACCCGGAAAATTATGATTTCTGTTTTGAGAGCTAGAGTATTTTATGAGGATCCTGCATACGAGTATGTATTAGTGGTGTGTGCTGAGAATACGAAACGCAACAAAAAATAAAAATAAGATTTCAAAAAAAAACATGCCAAAGTAATGTAAGTTAATATAATACAATGTAATATGTATTGATTAGTGGTAGCGCGTACATTATAATATTTAATACAAATAATTCCAAAACAAAACCCTAAGCAAGAAAAAAAACAATCAATTATTTTGACATTCAATTTGCAATATTTTATAGTTTATTTAAGCTAATACCACAATTATATATGTGGCATAAAACAGCCATACAAATTATAACATACGTACATTATTCTTAAACATTTTTTTAAGCTAAAGCTAGACAAGCATACATTTTTGGAATACAGCATATTCAATGAATCTTAACTATGAAACAAATATTTGTGCATCATATTTAATCGCAGTTTGGGTAGTTTAAACGCTACTTTACATCATAGATTCTACGGTTATTTCTTTTATTCCATGTATAATCGGAGTGGTGAGAAGTCGGAATTCTGCCATTAGGAAACTACGCATATCATTTGCTTCGACCTTGCCTGTTATTACTATGTTTTTGATAATTAGGTTGTTTGGCGCATAGTTAAATTGTATAGGTCCGTTTCTTAGTTATAGACATCAAGTCTATTTGCTAACACTAATACTCGAAATTTTTTAAATTTATTGTGCGAATTTTCTGCCTCATTTTTTAAAACATTGAAACACATATTTACCTATACATATGTATGTACATAGATATTAGTATTTGGTCATTTTATGTCATTTGTGCTATTCTTACTTCAAAAGAGGCGCAACCGAAAAGAAAAATTTTGGTCGATTTTTTCATAAATCAATTCGTAGGATTTTTCTCAAATTAATGAAAATATTTTCTTCTTCATGATTATATTCTCTTAACTAGAAAACTACTGTTATACCTTTTTTGTTTCAATTGCGTTAAATCTGTACGATCCATAAACACTTATATTTCCGGATCTGATTTTTGAGTTGTACCTCTTTTGAAGACGGTGCGCGAAATTCCGTTTAAAAGTGTTCTTATATTTCAAAGTAAAAATTGTCTACATTTGATTATTTAAGGAATATATGTAGGCTATTTTTTAATATCATTATCCTATTATCCGCTCGTGATTTCAAACATATTGAGAAATACCGTAATATTCTGGATACATCGGCGTTTTATTTCAAGTTATAAATAGCACGCCAATGGTACCTTTGCTCCCAGCGAAATATATTGCTTCTCCTTAAAACCCGTTTTCATAATTTGAGTGTTCTAACCCGTTTTTATATTTCGTCAATTACTTTCACTCCAATAGAACTCTCCGAAAAATATTGCTTTTGGACAATAGTTGTTGCTAAAAAATATTCACATACCTTGCCCTTAACACATATTAGCCCTATAGAGATTTCCGGAAATTCTTCTGGAGTGACGGGTTTTGGTCAAAGATAAGTTCATGTCCCATCATTGACTACGTTGTTTTTGATCATATTTTATAACAATACAACGGGCATCGGTTACTTGTTCCTGATGTATTCACTTTTTCTCATCGTATTTGTTGCGTGTATTCCATAAGATTTCTAATTTCCCATAAGCGTATGCTAAGGCTGAAAAGTGCATTAAAGTCCAAGCAAAATAGCTTCCAATTCTTATTTTCTCATTCGAACTGCATCCATTTTTGCAGGCCTTAAAACGCTGCACCTTGATTTATTTAGCTATTTATTATCCATGTGATGGTAATTTACGACGCCCCGTATTAGCGCGTACCTAAGTTTTCAATCAAATATTATCCTCCATAAGCAAATCATTTTCATCGATACGATCAGGTAAGCAGACAAAAAATTCTAGCAAATTTAATATGGGTCCCCGCGAGAATGGGTTTTGATATCGTCCACGCTTATCACGCAAATATGGATAACGTTTGTAATTGAACATTTCGTTGGTCGTTAGATTCATGCAGGCATGCAATATCTGCAAATAAAGAACAACACTTTGAATTATGTACATACATACATACATAATATATTGGAAGTTTTGCCTTCCAGATTCACATATGTATATCAGGCATACCGATGTACAAGTCAATATCCAGCCGAGAGCGCAAAACACCACAGCCTCCAATAGTCCTAAAACATAGAGCAACGTAAAGCCCTCAATCATCACGCAATAGCAAGCGAAGTAAATGGTAAACGAGCAATTCACAGCCACTGAGAGTACAAACAAGAAGAACCACATACGGTTCCGCAAACCTACACAGTTGTGAATGAACGGGCAGTGGTGGTCAAAATACGATACACATCGGTTACAGACGCGACAGTGCTTAGCTCGCAATGGACGCAAACAGCGGCAGCTGTGGCACAAACGCGTTAAAATTACATTTCGCTTTTTCAACTTGTCAAAGTAAGGTATCTGTTTGATGGCGCGATAGTAGGCATCAGAGCTTAGCGGTATATAGCCTGGATCACGACGATTCGCTATGACCCAACTGATCCACATCACTGCATTCCAATAAATGAAACAGTAATGGGAGCGACGTAAAATGTTCCAGGTGATTGGTATAGCCTTGGAAAGAAAATAAAATAGGTACATAAATATCGTTACTTTAATTCAAGGCCCTGACCAACATTTTTTTCGAAACTGCGTTTTGCACAGATTTTGGCAGGATGTATTAAAATACACCTTCAATAAAAATTTTGAAGTGCTATTACCAAATACAACGGAGTTACATGCCGCTTTTTAAAAGGTCTGACACTGATTTTATAATGTTTTTTGCTTCTCCTGTAAAATAAAAAATTGTTGGTTTACGGCCTTTGAGAATTAAGGAGACGATATGTACTTATGTTTGTATATCATTTAGGTGAAATCTCTGTAAGTAATCTGGTCACACAGTTGATTCTAATTTTTAACTAATGTATGTATGTATGTACATAATTACATATGTGCATGAATTTTACCTATTTATGTAACTTACTCTTATCATGTACATGGGATATCCCCATAATAACACCGAGAATAAGAAAAGTAGCAAAGGTCCTTTCGAGTCGCCTGCTCCACCAAATAACCAACCCCAAATTTCCGAAATTGACGGTATCCAGCGTGATTTTTTCTTCACTTCATTGTATAGTAATCGTACTATGTCCTGATGCTGATGCGCCTGTGCCAACATTATCGGCGTTTTACCATTCTTGTCTCGCGGCTCCAAATCCATGTTAGATTTTTCGCACAACAATCGTACACATGTCATATTGCCCGACAGGCATGCTAAATGTAATGGTGTCGAACCGAAATTATCGGTTTTTTGGAGCTCAACACCCGAATACATAAGCAAACGCATGAGATCGGCATGCCCTTTGTAGGCTGCCCAGTGCAAAGCCGTGTCACCATTTATGTCCGTAAGATGATTAAGCGCACCCATGCCGAGTAAGTAGGCTGCCGTAGCTGTCTTGCCATACATGCATGCGCTCATGAGTGGCGTTAGACCTTTAAAATCTGCCGCATTCACAGCCACACCGGCCTGCAACAAAACTTGCACCACTGCGGCATGACCTTTGCGACATGCCCAGTGTATGGGGCGGGGGCCCTGTGTCCCTAAACATGGCAAATCAACCGGCGCATTACGTTCAATTAGATAGCGCATAATTTCTACATTGCCGCTGAGTGCCACCCAATGACCAGGCGTGTAGCCATGTCTGTCACGTGCCGACAAACATTCTATTCCGAATTTCTCCACCAAATTTTCCACATCACTGACTTCTCCATTTTTTATGACATCAAATATATCGTCCAAATGCGCCATAGCACCGTCGATGCCTTCAAACAGTAGTAAATTGCTATCGTCATGCTCGTCGATAGCTCCATCTCCGCCAGATGTGCGTCCAACTCCGCCGCCAACACTGTTCACTCCCACTCCGCCACGTCCACCTCGACGCAACGTTGGCGGCGAATGCGGACGCTCTTCGGTGTTGGCGGCGCTATCCTCTTCGGCCACCATGTTGCATGAGGTCAGGGGCAACGCCCACACACTGCGGGCGGCCCCTGGACTGGGATGCACTTTGCTGTGCTGCGTTCTGATGATGTCGCCGCTGGCCACGTTATAAAAATCCGTTCTCTCCACAATCACAGTGCCTGAAGCTGAAGGTGATTGATGGAGCGGATTCTCGAGTAGATGAGAAATCTTGTTTGCTTTCTGCTTTGCTCCGAAATTGAGAAAACAAACCTTAATCTTTATTTATTTTTTATCGACAAAAGATTTTAAGGGATTTAATCAATGTATGTATATACATACATAAAATGAAATTTAATTTTTTTAATTTTGGAAGGAATGTTCTGGTGCTTCACTTTAAAAACTGTAGGGCAAACGAGGATATACTAAACAAACGAGCAAAAGGAAAATCAATAACGAACTGCATGACATTTGAGTTGTAATTGGTCCTTGACTGTTGGCTGGTTTCTGAGGGGTGATACAACCAAAGAAAGATGTGAATGTTCGTGTGTTGTGCGTGTGTATATACATATGTACATACATATATAGAAATAGAAGAATTCGGACCCACATACATATGTACATATATACATAAATGTAAAGAAATTAAGTATGTTAATTTTTAAATTTTTAACGGTTTATATATTAAAGTGACTTATATGGAAATATGTAAGCACCTTACGAGGTAATCCATGTTTTCTTTCAGTTTTTAGTGCCAAAATTGTCATCTACTAGTAAAGCACAAAATGAACACCTCCGACGACGCATTACGTTGTCAGTTGAAAAATAACGGGCCGCCGAAGTTATTTCCAAGCGTGGAAGTACTCCGAGCAACTGCTCTACGTTCTTGGTAACCACGTAAAGTGCATTCTAAATTCCTATTTACATAAGGCGGCCACGTCTTTCTTAAATTAAGGGAGATTCGTCAGTGAAGTGGTAAGGACCGCCGGGCGAAGTGTAAGTTGCTGGTAAGGTATTGCGCTTCACCTGGCGGTCCTTACCACTTCCCTACCGAATCTCCCTTGCGTAAACAGAGGCGTGGCCGCCCTATGTAAGTAGGAATTTAGAATGTACATTTGGTATCAGACATACTTCTGGCCCGCTTTACAAAGTAAGTTACGTAGAAGGTAGAGCAGTTGCTCGGATAGTTCGACGCTTGGAAATAACTTCGGCGATACGTTATTTTGCAACTGACAGCGTAATGCGCCGTCGGAGCTGAAAGAAAACATGGATTATCTCGTAATTACCTATTTTTCCAGTGGGAAGAGTCCTATTCACATACTACATACATATTTAACAAAGTAAATATGTGCATATGTATGTGTTCCGAAAGGAGTTTGATACTGGCTACTCATTTTCACCGGATATAACATGTCGCCCCAATAATGAAATATGCAGTGTGAGAGTTGCATGATTTTTTACCCGGCTACGCCTAAAAATATGCAATTTATATTTACTCATTGCCTAACAATCTTTGTTTAACAACTTTTCCAGGAATTATGTACTAGCAGCGAGAGCGTTAACACAAAATAGAAAGGAAGAGAAATCGTGAGAAAGTTATTGAACGCAAAACCAGTAGAAACTTTCGCCACTTTTATCCCTTTTGGTGGCTTAAGTTTTGACGTGCAGATTGCGAATATGAGTATGCAGATACCTACGTTAGTTCAATTATTCATAACAATTTTTATTTAACTTATTTTATTTTGAGCAAGATCTATGTACATACATATTTGCCCCTAATAGAGCATAGATTTTTTGAAAACATACATACATTCATACACAAGTTTCAGATAAAAAATCTACGATTTCAATTAATTTCCATGTCTTTGCACGTTTGTATTTGCTGCATCAAAGAATCTAATTCATTGACTGTGTAGACCTTATGGCTCGAAGGATCGCACCCATAATTTGTTTTTGTTATGACTTTATCTGAGGTTGAGTTTTGTTTTGAAGTTTTTGGAGAATTATTAGCATCAACAATAAAATGCCAGTACTCAGGAGATATAGATTCTAAACGTAGTATACGATCTTCAATTTCCTTGAGACGCCTACTTATCGGTAAATCATGATTAGATGAACGAAACAGATGTTGTTCTATAGCCTCAAGCCTATTGTGAGCCGAAGTAGGTAATTTTGTATGTACTCCAATTTTTTCTCCTTCGGTTAAGTTTAACTTCATTGAAGGGTCATATGTCATCAATTTATCTAATGCTCTTAAGTAGTTTGGACGAGTTTGTGGGCCGGTGGTATTTTTCACCCGGAAAACTTTTAAATGACATTTCGACCTTTCTTGTTTCACAACGGTGCTATTTACTCGTGCACAAGTACAATCTTCTTCATTTTTATTGAGTTTGTCTATATTAATGTAGTCAACGATGTTGTTTTGGTCGATTTCTTCACGTTTTATTGTAATAAAACGTGCTATGCGATTACGAATTTCATTTCCGTTTGCAGTTATTTGCACCAGATCCGTTGACACAGGAGTTTCGGCGTGTATTTTGGATTTTGAGAAACAGAATCTCTCACTATCTTCACACACCCTTTGACACTCTTCATCTTGTTTATAATCTCTGTTTTCATTAAAATGTAGCCCTCTTTCCGAAGTTAGCACTGCTTTCTTCAATTGTTCAATAGCATATCCCAATGCTTCCAACGAACATTGTTGAAATGGAGAGGCAATTGCTATGACCACTTTTGCTTCTTTAGGTGCAATTAAACCAATGCGTTTGTAGATTGCTATATTCATTACACCCTTCCAACGGGAACGTATTTCATCGCATATACACTTTAGCTCTTTTTTGGCAATTGATTCATTTGTTTCACGTTCAACCGAAGGGATGAGTTTTTGTTCCAAATTATTTGGAGTTGTCTCTACAAATAATGAAAGTGCACTACACTTTTCATGCAATACTAAATTACTAATCGCTCCAATGAGTAGAGGCTCTGGGGTTATCACTAAAAAATTCGACATTTCGTCCTAAATAATTATTGTAATTGATGAAATATTTAAATGTTCGTCTTTGGGATTCCGTTTCTTTGTCGTATATTATTTTCATTGGAAGCAATAGCATTCTACTCGGGCTAGTACTTGCCCTCAGCAGTTTCGAACGCTGGTACCTAAAAAAACCTTTATAAGTAAAATACAATTGAGTAAATTGGTGCAACATAGTCAAATAGGCTTTACGACGACTTGTTTCTTACCTTGCTCGGTAACTTTTTCTGAAATTACTAAAATACATATGTTTGTCTAGCCATAAACGAAGTTTCGGCCACTTTCACTTCAGCGCCGGAGCACTGAGCAATGACGTGTGCTTTGTTCAGGATAGGTATGGAGTCTGTGAATCAAAGATTTCTAATTAAATTTTTTTATTGCAGCAGTATGTTCCAACTTAAAAAAGTTTTTAAACGCAGAATTTACAATAAAATATCGCTATATGCTTGATATTTGAGCAATCCAAGAGTGTGGCGCGGCATATTGTTCAAAAAACTCACCTGTACGTGTGCTTGTAGGAACGTTGTGCTCACAGCTGCAGAATGGTACTTGGTCAATAACTAATTAGCAACTGTGTTAAACTCACCGTGCTGGCTAGGGTGTGAAATTCTATAAGATTATAGATTAAGTAGGTAATTTAATAGTGAAATAACAGATTTATTGGAACACTTACCCGAAATCGTGAAATCAAAAAACCAAATGTTTACGAATGAACGAAAAGCAAACAGCGAAAGAGCAACGGTTATCGGGATGCTACGATTCATCGATGTATCGAAAACATCGAGATATCAGCAAAAAGCATACCCCGACATGAACGAAAGACACAAGATCACGTAGAACAAGAGTGAAAAAAATGAACCTAGTATTACGTGTATTTTGTTTTTGCTTTTACTTATTTGACAGCACACCCATCAAAAGCAAAAACAAAATACATGTAAACTTTGGAGCGAATTGAAATTTGACATAACACCCGCAATACAAAATACATGTGGTTGTAATCTAAATTCGCCAGTAACACCACCTTGTATAAATTCGCCTTGCATCGAGATATCAGCAAAAAGCATACCAAGGCGAATTTGTACAAGGTGGTGTTACTGGCGAATTTAGATTACAACAACGACGACCACATATATTTTGTATGGAGGGTGTTATGTCAAATCTCAATTCGCGCCAAAGTTTACATGTATTTTGTTTTTGCTTTTGATGGGTGTGCTGTCAAATCAGTAAAAGCAAAAACAAAATACGTGTAAGGCGAAGAAATCAGCTGACTTTACACCACCTTGTATAAATTCGCCTTGAAGCATACCCTGAGAAAAATGGCTGACTATCGGAAATAAACTATCGATTGTACACTCACATACATACATGCGTATGTGCATCAAAGAAAATTTTACTTCATTAGATTTGTTCGTCGAGCAAAAAATTTTTACGAATTTGTACGAATTATCAAGATTTTTGCCCAAATCGCGTTCGTGCAGACCAAAAAATTATCCATCACTCATAAACTGAGAGCGCAAAGTGACAGTTCTCCAGAGAGAAGTTACAAATTCTTGCTGGAAAAATTTTAGCCGGCAAGAATTTGCAATGATGAACCAACAAACCAAGATCACGTATTCAAAGGAGCAAGAAAAAAGTATATTTCTGAACGTTTTTGACATCTGCCTAAGAATGAAAACAAAGAAAACGAAAAAGGCGCGGTGGTTGAGTGCGATTATATTGGCATTTATCATAAAATTAATAAGGCTTTCTGCACATTGGTCGTCTAATCATAGTTACTTCATCGTCACAATCGTGATGCAACGATTACATGACGACTACTTTTTCGCACACTCGGTCGTGATATTTCAATTCATTTGGCGTTTAAAAATTGACTTGGAGCAGGTATTTTCTGTGTTTCTGGTTGATATTTTCTCGAAATATGTGCAAAATCCTGCAATTTTTAAAATATGGACTGTGCTGCAACAATTCTAGACATAATTTTTCAGTAATATCTCTTCTTTTCTTTTCCTGAAATGTATTGTGTGCATGCACACAGAGACTTTACAATTTCGACATGTTTTATAGTTAAAACGCTCACATTTATTGAGTTCTATTGCAATTATCCAATTTTTAATAATTTCGACAGATTATATGCCAAAGACACTCATTTTTATGCAATTTTAATGCAAATATTGAATTTTCACTAATTTTTCCCCATAAAATGTAAACAAACAATGCGTGCACAACGATTAGCAAACGACAGAATGCCGTACTTATCCGTTTCTGCATCTAATAGGCTGTTTTACGCGTAAAAGCACATTTAGCGCATTTAGCTCTAAATGTACATTTATCCATACAAAATTCGTCACCTAAATGCAACTAAATGCAACTACATTTTTGCATTAAGAATCTAAATGCTAAAAGCAACCCTGTGATCTTCCAAAATTTCCACGATTCGAACATGGTTTAAAGAGAAAAAGTGGCAACATTGTTTTTTCGAGTATGCAGCTAGCTGCGTTTCAGTGATCGCCGATCGAGATTTCTTTTATTTTGCATTACATATTTGGATAAAGAAAAGTTAAGCAAATTCAACATCGATTTGATACTGATAGAATTCTGGATCAATTTGTGATCAACTCTGTTTGGTTTGTTTACTAATTAAGTGAGGAAATTTTAATTGAATGCACCGACAAATAAATATATACACAAACAAATGTTCGGTTATGATTAAAACAATTCAAGTTTTTGTATTGAATTTTTGGTTTAAAATTTATTTTTTCCTTTTCAGTAGGGTTTTTGCACATTATCTTCTGCGTGAGAATTGATCGTAATATATACGCATCTAAATAAGAGACTGGAACACGGCTGTTTGTCAAAAGCATACGATTTCGAACTCGCGTAAATGTACATTTGCTAAATGCTATAGCATGAACGCTCTTCGAAAACATATGTTCGAAAGTGCTAAATGTTGCATTTTAAATGCAGCAAAAACGCTGCATAATACGATTTGCCGATAACGACAAGTGTGCAGATCTCATTTGAAATGCATGTGCTCGGCCCAAAATTTCAGGGCGAGACGATAACGCAACTATGATTGGACGACAAGTGTGCAGATAGCCTAAGTGAAACTGAATAAAAATGAGCCAAAGGTGTTCATAAAGTATGGTTTTCGTGATAGAAAGTGTTTTGAATCCACGTAGCATCAGTACAGTTCGATTTTTTAATTCCAAGTTCTGACCAGAAAAGTGCATCCACCTTTCACGCAAATTTACGCCTCCTGGCAAACCAAAAGCACAAACTTGTTCAAATCACAAAGCACCTCATTTTATATCATAAATTTGTAAGAAATTTATAATTAAAATCGCTGCAGAAAACACATCAACTCGCTAAAAAATCACTACGAAGAGGTAAAAGACGATGTAAACAAAACCAAAAAACATCAAGAACGCTTCGAAAATTATTTTCTGAAAATCGATTACAAATACAACGATGGCTGATTAGGTGATCTGTCGTCGTTGATTAATGATTTGCAATCACGAAAAACATATGATTGTGGCACATGGTTACATTTTTGAAATTGAATAAATAAGTTCGTTAAATTTAAAAATTTATAATCACGAGCGATTTTTTTATGAAAAAAGACCTAAATGCAACTCCATTAAAAGTCTAGATGCTAAAAGCAACCCTTTGATGTTCAAAAATTTCCACAATTCGAACATGGTTTAATGGGAAAAAGTGGCAACATTGCTTTTCGCGTATACAGTTGCTAGCTGCGTTTCAGTGATCGTCGGTCGAGATTTCATTTATTATTTTACATTATTTGGAAAAAGAAAAGTTGCTCAAATTCAACATCGATGTGATATTGATTGAAATCTGGCTCAATTTGTGATCAACTCTGTTTTTTCCTATTTAATTGAGGAAATTTCAACTGACAGCACCGACAAATGAATATATACACATACAAATTTTATGGTTATGGTTAAAACCATGATAAAAACATAGTAAGGTAAAACCGTTCTCTCAATTCTTCTTCCATGATTTTTTTTTAAGTTTCCCAACATTTTATAATCATACAAAATTGAGAGTAAAAAAAGGAATTGTTCGAAGTTGTTGTTCATTAAGATTGAAAATGAGAATGCGTGTGTAAGTTTGTGTGTAAAATTTTAAAATTAAATTGCTTGCAAACGTCAAGAATTTGAAAAATTCCTCTCAGCGGTTCTACCATCCTATTTTTTTTTATAATGGTTAAAACAATTCAGTTTTTTTATTGAGTTTTTGTTTAAAATTTCTTTTTCCCTCTTCAGTAGGGTTTTTTGCACATTATCTTCTCTGTGCGAATTGATCGTGATAGATACGGATCTGAATAAGAGACTGGAACACGGCTGTTTGTCAAAAGCATACGATTTCGAACTCGCGTAAATGTACATTTGGTAAATGCGATAAAATGAACGCTCTTAGAAAAATATGTTCGAAAGTGCTAAATGTTGCATTATGCAGCAAAAACGCTGCATTATTGCGAATTCCCAGCGATTTGTTACGATTCGCACTAGCATTATAACCATAGAGTCCGACGGCGCTATTAGTAATTCATTTCAATTAATATGGCAACACTTTCAACATTTCCTTCTTTTGACAGTCTTCGCTGCAACGGGATTGAACGGGATTTCGTGAAACGTGGTGCAAGGGCTTGATCTTTTTTGGAAAATATTTCGAAGGCATGTTTTCAATTGATTTATTTGAAAAAACCTAAGCGTTTCTATCTCAGTGAAGTGTTTAAGTTATGTATAAAACTGTACAAGTGGTGGGCGCGCCGAGATTTTACATACATATTCCCGGCATCAGACACATATTCGCCCAGTGCCAACAGCGCCACATTGCCGTTGTTACCAAATCACAATCGTGCACTGTTGATGATAGCGATAACTTAGGGAAAGAACAAAGGAACCTTATAGAACTGCGGAACCTCGGCGTAGGGAATCTTTCTTCCTCAACATACAACTCATTCAACACTCTTCACATAGGCGGAATTCCTCATGAAACTTTCTGTCGGCGCTATGCAACATTGGTCGGTGTCTAGAAGCAACAAACAGATCATTTAAACGTATCGCCCTATATTGGAATAGCTAATGACGAATACAAATTTAGTGCGAATTCTACATTTTCAATTTTGTAAATGCGGAAAGTTTTGTTTGCACCCTTCCCAAACACCAATATCACCTAATTTACTGCGCCGTGCATGCGCATGATTCATACATAATAGGTTTGTTCGTCGAAAATCCAGCAAGAATTATCCAACACTCAAAATATCAGAGAGTAAGAAAAAATTCTCTCAAATTCTCTCTCATGTTGAGAAACTTGGAAATTTCTGCACGAACGCAAATTTGCAGTAATTTGCAAGTTTCGCTGCCAGCTGGCGTCCACGGTTGCATTTCAAAAATAAAAAATTTTTATAGAATTTTTAAAATTCTTTCGGATGGCCAAAAACAGGATATACATGTATATTTCTTGTTGTTCTGACTTTCTTTAACATACATTTCAATTTCTTCATCGTACTAGCTGTTGGGTTTCTTAAATCGACTCTGGTTGCAATTGCATTCCGATTGCGAATACCATTTTTTTCAGCCGAATTAAGTTCAAATCATTGGAATTAACTAAATTAATTATATCAACAATTATTTACTTCCTTTTTTCATAAAAAAATCGCTCGTGTTT